TTTTTTTGACTGGAGTTCATTGACAGGATGTTCGCTCACTGCAACCTCAGCCTTCCAGGCTTAAGGGATCCTCTCAACTGAGCCTCTTGAGTAGCTGGGACTACATGTGTGTGCCAACACATGCAGCTAATTTTTGTGCTTTTTTGTAGAGATGGGGTTTCACCATCTTGTCCAGGCTGGTCTTGAACTCCTGGGCTTAAACAGTGTCAGCCTCCCAACATGCGGGGATTATAGGCATGAGCCACCGTGCCTGGCCAGTTTCCTCAGTTTTAAATTTTATTTATTTTTTTAAATACTTTAAGTTCTGGGGTACATGTGGTTATCGTGCAGGTTTCTTACATAGGCATACACATGCCGTGGTGGTTTGCTGCATCCATCCCTCTGTCGTCTACATTAGGTATTTCTCCTAATGTTATCCTTCCCCAATCCTCCCAACTCCTGCTATCCCTCCTCTACCCCCGTCAACCCCCCGGCAGGCCCCAGTGTGTGATGTTCCCCTCCCTGTGTCCATGTGTTCTCATTGTTCAACATCCACTTATGAGTGAGAACATGCAGTGTTTGGTTTTCTGTTCTTGTGTCAGTTTGCTGAGAATGATGATTTCCCGCTTCATCTATGTTCCTGCAAAGGACATGAACTCATCCTTTTTATGGCTGCATAGTATTCCATGGTATATATGTGCCACATTTTCTTTATCCAGTCTATTGTTGATGGGCATTTGGGTTGATTCCAAGTCTTTGCTATTGTAAACAGTGCCGCAATAAACACATGTGTGCATATCTCTTTATAATAGAATGATTTATAATCCTTTGGGTATATACCCAGTAATGGGATTGCTGAGTCAGATGAAATTTCTATTTCTAGATCCTTTAGGAATCGCCACACTGTCTTCCACAATGGTCAAACTAATTTACACTCCCATCAACAGTGTAAAAGTGTTCCTATTTCTCCACATCCTGTTCAGCATCTGTTGTCTCCTGATTTTTTAATGATCACCATTCTAACTGACGTGAGATGGTATCTCAATATGGTTTTGATTTCCATTTCTCTAGTGACCAGTGATGATGAGCTTTTTTTTCATGTTTATTGGCTGCATAAATGTCTTCTTTTGAAAAGTATCTGTTTATATCCTTTGTCCACTTTTGGATGGGGTTGTTTTTTTCTTGTAAATTTGTTTAAGTTCTTTGTAATTACTTTGAGATTCTGGTTATTAGCCCTTTGTCAGATGAGTAGATTGCAAAATTTTTTTGCCATTCTGTTGGCTGCCTTAGTTTTAAAGAATGCTTCCTTTTCAACCCTTCCCCCACCTATCATAGGCCCAAATTTACTTTAAATGCATTTAAATGCCTTGTGTGAACTCAAAAACATAAACTTTCCAGCAAGCCTCAGCCATCTTTCCCATCCTTCCTGAGGGCAATTTCAGTTCACATGTATACTATAGTTTTTTATTTTTTTCTTTCTTCGTAGTACTTAAGAGTAGAGTTCTTAATTACAATAGTGTTTTAGCCAGCATTAATACGTGTTTATAGCTGGCAGGGTTTCAAGTCTTTTCAGCTTTAATACTGCTGGAAAAGTCATAAAATATTTGTTACCTACAGAGCAAACTTTCTAATGAAGAGAAGGAGCAGAGATGTGAGAGGGAAGGGTTGAGCTTTGATTTGGAGGGGAAAAAAGATGTAAAATGAGAAAAAAGCAATGGAAATTTTATATTTCAAAAATTTGAAACAAAGAAATTTTGTATTCTAAATAAAGTGTAATAAACTAAGAAATAGTATCTCGAGCAATATGTAACAAATTCTGTTTGATGGTTGAACATACTTTGATCGTTTTCTCATTCAAGAATTTACGCAGTAGTGTGATGTATCAGTAAAACTAAAGGATCTGTAGGAAGGCCTAGATGGAAGAATCATATTCTCTTTGCATAGGCTAACCCTCCCTTTTACAAAGATGAATGTTTTCATCCACAAATATTTGTTGAATTCTTGTCATATGATCGGTGACAAGGGTTAGGGATGAGGTGGAAAGTAAGTTAGAAGTATAAAATGGTCCCTGGGTTTTAGACATGGTGCCTCTGACATGAGTATCTGTGAGATAAACAGTCACATTTGAATAAGATCTTCACCTGAAAACAAATTATTTAAGAGGCACAAACAAAATTAAAAAGTTGCGACAGACTGGGTGTGTTAACCAGAACACACTAGACTGTGAGAAGCAGAAAATTCAGCTAACACAGTAGCGTAAACTATGAGGACAACAGGACATTTATTGTTTGCTCAATAAAAGGTGTAGAGGCAGATGGTCTGAAGAAGGCAAACGAGGCTGCCAGACAAATTCATTGAGGACTTGTGCTTGTTCTAGCTTCCCACGTTGCTTTTCTTAGGTTTGCTGCTTCTTGATCAAAATGGCCAAAACTGCTTAACACAACTATTCCTGGTTGCTAAGAAAAGCTGAGAAAACAAGTATCTGCCTCTTTTGGCCTTTATCGTAGACAAACAAGGCAGAAGGGGGTTAGAAAAGGCTTTTAGGTATCCAGCCAATAGTGTCTGACACACTGGGGGGAAAACTATAATGGAGCATACATAGATATCTGATATGTGGCCCTTGATACTGGCATTGTAGATCAAGTAGGAGATATGATTGATATTCAGTGATGGTACTGGGACATTTGGTTTTCCGTGTAGAAAACATCTACAGATGAAAGTACATATAACCTCTAAGTTTGTGTAAGTACACTTCAAGATGTTCACACAATGATGAACTTAACCTGTCACCCAGGCTGAAGCGCATTGGTGCGATCTTGGCTCACTCTAACCTCCATCTCCCAGGTTCAAGCGATTCTCCTGCTTCAGCCTCCTGAGTAGCTGGGATTACAGGTGTCTGCCACCACACCCGGCTAATTTTTGTGTTTTTAGTAGAGAAGGCGTTTCACCATGTTGGTCAGGCTGGTCTCAAACTCCTGACCTTGTGATCCGCCTACCTCAGTCTCCCAAAGTGCTGGGATTACAGGCATGAGCCACCGCGCCAAGCTCAATGTACTTTATTCTTTGCATCCATTAGTAATGGTAGTCTTCTCTAATCACTAAATAGAAGACTGAATAAAGTCTTATAATTTTTCAATATTTAGAAAGGATTTGGCAAAGAAAGTTTTCCAAAACTTTGAAATAGTCTGCAGAGCTGGGGCTGGGTGGTAAATTTCCAGTTAAGGATCATGATGAATGTATACTATTACACAGTGTGTTGGCCTTTACATAAAATAATAATGAGTTAATTCATACTATTAAGGAAAATGAATGAAATACACTGTTTTGAGATTTGCCTTTGAGCTAATACTTAACATCTGTTTGCCAGGGTGGTCCAGGACTCCGAGGACCAAAGGGCCAGCAAGGTGAACCAGGTCCAAAGGTAATGTGTATATTTCTCTCTCTCTCTCTCTCTCTCTCTCTGTCTCTGTCTCATCTCTCTCTGTTTGTCTCTGTCTCATCTCTCTCTCTCTTTCATAAATAGTCATCATTTTGGAGTTGAATATGACTTACTTCACCCTTACAATATAAAGTTCCTTAAATTTTTATGAAAGCTGTGCCTAACCCTTCTTTTTTAAGACTATGTTTTTAAATCAAAAAAATAATATTTAATAACTCAGTAAAAAGAAAGGCTTCTAGGTCAAAAATAAGAGTGTCAGTGTACTGACTGATTTAGTCTCCAGGGTAATTCTCTCAGAATTTGTACACTCTTCTCTTCCTCTACCTACAATGAAAATGTACATTTAGAGGAATCATGCAGAACCACAACTTGGCATCAGTCCTGTCCAGGTAGTTTCTTGGGTTTTGGATTCCTCCTCCTCCTCCATTGCACTATATATAATCAAACACACAGTTTTGTTTTTCATTCTTACTGGCCAGGGTCATCAAATATGGTGGTTCAGGTTGTACACTGTACAAAGGCACCCGCCAAGAGCCCAAGCCATGCCAAGCCATGTCAAGGAACATGTTTTTCTACTTTGCACAAAGGCATCCTGAGGACTGGCAGAAGCCCAGTCACTAATGGAGTTCAGGCCTCACCATCGTCTCTCCAGCTCGTGGCAAATCTTCTAACTGGTCTTCTGTCCCAAGTGGCTTAACATTTCAATTGATTCTTCACATCTGCCCCCAGATTAATTTCCTTAAAGTCTATGCTGGATCACATCATACTCTTCAAAAACCTGCCGTCACATGCTGTTGCCTTCAGAATACCGTTCACCCTCTTTGCAGAGACATTTAAGGCTCTTTATAACTTGACTCCCATCTCATTTCCACCATGCTGCTCCACATGTTCTCTTCTCCATCCATCCTGCTTGACTTACTGCTCAATATGGTTTCTTATTAAATTTACATAGCATTTATTCATGGGGAGGGGAACATTGCAAAGCTTTTTACCATAAAATTGGAAACAGATGAAGCAAGGTAGAAGAAAATATTGGGATAAAAAAGAAGTAAATGCAAGAAGGCTGAAGGTAATTAATCAGGTACTAGCCAATTCAAAACTCAGATGGTAAGATGTCTCCTTTTTTGTTTTTTGTTTGCTGGAACGACTTGATGTATATTACTTGGCTCCATCTTTTATGGTGCTATAAGAAGGGCAGTGGCATGATCTTTGCTTACTGCAGCCTCTACCTCCTTGTTCTTCTCGAGCAGGGGTGCACTGGCTCTTCCTCAGCTTCACTCAAAGGCAGTGCCCTTTTGCTCCTATAGATTCTGGCTCCCTCCTCCCAATGCCTCTAGCAACACGACCCTGCTGTTTTCTAACATGATCGCTGGATGATCGTCCTAATCAGGAAGATAAATGAGTTCATAGATGTTTGGTGATCCCAAGACGGACCCATTTCCTCCAATTATTCATTCCCATAGGACGCTACTGATATGGTTATTTCTATATGATGATTTTGATGAATCACAGATTTAAGTATGTAGTGGTTTTTGGAAAAAGTCTTATTGGACAAAGGATGCTGACATATCCACCAATGCGGACAATGGAGGAATAGATACCTTCCCTGCAGAAGGCCCCAATACATATTATTTTTTATTTTGTTGCAACAAATAGAGAATAAGAATTTGGAAGCACAAAGCAACCCTCTTGTTGGTCTGTCTTAGTCATTTTGCCTCGTATTTTATAGAATAAAATGTGACCCTCTGCTTTCTGCTCTTCTATGTGCAATTTCTCAATAATGTATTGTTAAATTCCACTGGGCACAGTGGCTCATGCCTGTAATTCCAGCACTTTGGGAGGCTGAGGCAGGTGGATCACCTGAAGTCAGGAGTTTGAGTCTATCCTGGCCAACATGGTAAAACCCTATCTCTACAAAAATACAAAATTAGCCAGGTGCGGTAGTGGGTGCCTGTAGTCCCGGCTACCTGGGAGGCTGAGGCATGACAATTGTTTGAACTCAGAAGACGGAGATAGCAGTGAGTCAAGATAGTGCCATTGCACTTCAGCCTGGGCAACAGAGTGAGACTCTGTCTCAAAAAAATAAAAATAAATAATAATATATTCTTAAACTGTTATATATTTAAATGATATATTATTAAACCATTATAGATAGCAATATTTAAAAATTGCCTCCTTGTCTCCTCCATGGTGTTTTTAAAAACCCAGCTCCCTCTTTCTCTGTCCCTCTTAGGCCATGCTCCTTGTAAGAATAGTTATCACTGTGTGCTTCCACATCCTCACCTCCCAAAGAATTCTCAGCCCACATGTGCTTTCTGTTCCCCTAGGAGTCCTATGAAAATTCTCTTGTAAAAGTCCCCAAACACTTGCTTGTTACCAGATCCATAGTTTAGAGTTTAATTTTTCTTATTTGAGATCACTACAAAATTTGACGCAATCAAACACTTCTTTGAAAATTTCTTCTCCTTTGATCTTTTCTGCACCACTATTCCACTCCATCTTCACCCTCTTCCTAATTCTTGGGCTTTTTCATTTCAGATTCTTTCCCAGGTTTCTCTTCCTTTCTCTTCTACCTGATTATCATCTCATTTTTATCCATGTTCTCTTTCATTCTCTCAATACATTCTCCTTGATAACCTCACCTATAAATATATTTTCAGCTACTCCAAAATCCATCCCAGCACAGACCTTGCCTAACTCCTTGGGCTGCTGGACATTTCCATGCGGTTTTCCCAGGCACCTAAATCTTAACAAGTCTTAGTGTGCACTCATTATCTACCCAAACTTTACCCCACAATGCCTCTTTTTCTGTATTCTTTGTGCCAAGTAATGGGTACACCAGTCTCACATCTAAGATGATACCCAGACATTGGGAGGTCTTAATTTAATAAAAGAATAACTTTAGTTGAAGTCACAGAATGAGACAGAAGAGGTTGAGGATGGGTAGGTTTTCTAGGTCTAAGATTTCTTACGTGGTTTAGTTTTAGTTAAACCACAACAAGGTCCAAGCTACAGAAGTAAGGGTTACTGAAGTGAAAGGGATGTCTGATCCTGAAAAGAAAGGAAGTAAAATAGGCTGGGCATGGTGGTTCACGCCTGTAATTCCAGCACTTTGGGAGACCGAAGCAGGAAGATCACCTGAGGTCAGGAGTTCAAGATCAGCCTGGCCAACATGGTGAAACCCCTTCTCTACTAAAAATACAAAAAATAGCCAGATGTGGTGGTGCACGCCTGTAATCCTAGCTACTCAGGAGGCTGAGGCATGAGAATCGCTTGAACCTGGGAGAGGGAGGTTGCCATGAACTAAGAACATGCCTCTGCACTCCAGCCTGGGCAACAGAGTGAGACTCTGTCTCCAAAAAAAAATTTAAAGAAGGAAATAAAATAATACTAAGCCTAGGGAAGGTCATTCAGTGGACATTGAAGGAGGTATAGTGTGATGGCAGCATCAAAGTGAGGAAGAAAGAAGAGGCTAGGTGCAAAGTTCTCAGTAAATGCAGAGAGTCCTCCTGAGGTAGGAGTTTGACAGTAGTGGAGGTAGAACGCAGTTCATCTGGACGGTGTGAACCTTCACAGACTAGGAGGGTGGTCTTGAAGCACTTATACTTTTAAGTTTGTTATGGAGTGTGGGAGGTCTCATTACTTACAAAGTTGGCACAGCACTCTTATTTACAGAAGCAAAAGTAGTAATGATATTAATAAAGTTGCAGCAATCCCAGTGTGTTTACTCTTACGGTTTACTGCTGACATTTTACCTGGAAGGTAAATCATTTGAGGCTTTATGTCTTGTTATTCTGAGTATTTCAGATCTTAGGAAAAACTATATAAGGAAACAAATTATAATTGTCCTAAGCAGAAATATTTTCTGGATGTCAGAGAGTCTAACTTACTTTTAGGATGACATTTCTCTGTTGCCTTCCAGGGACCAGATGGCCCTCGGGGTGAAATTGGCCTTCCGGGACCTCAAGGTCCACCTGGACCCCAAGGACCAAGTGGTCTGTCCATTCAAGGAATGCCTGTGAGTTGTGTTCCAACATTCAGATGGGTTTTATTGTTATCTCTTTTCCATGTGGCTACAAAGAATGAACTTTTGTCTTCTGTGCCTTAATAATGAACCTCAGTCCCTTTGAAAGCAATGATTATCATGTCACTAGTTATGCCCTTAGCTAGTTTTTTTTTTTCAGTGAAGAAGGTCTTTTAATCAATAAGTACATGCACAGGAAGCTGGTACATCTGCAAGCATTGTGTTTACAGAGGAAGAACAAAGCTTACGTGCATAGCCCTTTTTCTTGTTTAAATTCTTAATGGATGTGATAACATCTAGATAGTAACAAATGTTATACGCATTTAAGCTTTTTCATTATGTGTAGTGACTGCTTGTATAGATTAATAAAGGCCATTTTTTCATGATCCTTATCTCAAATGGCATCAAATCACCATTTATGGAGAGTGAGAGTTTTAGATTTTTAGATGGTGTACTTTAATGTAGGTGCATTTCTTTGAGAAGTCATTTTATACCATTGAAAAAAAATTAATTGTGTTCACTGATCTTCATTAATCTTACTATAGAGGTCTAAATTTAGGAATAAAACCAATCTCTTTAATTCATATTTGTAGCAACCAGATCCTTTAAAGCTCAATTTTTGGCAATCTTTCTGCGTATATGATTATGTCTGCCTAGCTGAAAAGTTTCTCCTACAGTATTATTTTACAAAGCATCAACATGCCAATTTGTGTAATTACTACTAATAAATATGGTTGAGGTCTTACTACATGCCAGATTCTGTGTTTGCTTTTCCTTTCTTGTATAGCATTTAAGTATGTTTCTAGCCAAAACAAAACAAAACAAATCTACATAGATATGAGATTGTAAAATCCAACGCATAAATAATACTGAAATGTTCAAGTCTGCCCTCCATGTGTTTACCATATTGGCCTCACCATATCAGACTGTATTTTCTATGTTGAAACTATCCTGGTATATAAATGTTCAGCTGCATCGGAATGCTTACATAAATGGTGTCGCATGTGTGAAAAGTAAAATGTGTTCTGTTTAGATGTTAGTATAAACGCAATTTACTGTGGAAAAATGTTTAAATGACAAGAGAGGGAAAAGAAAGCACTAGGAATTTATCTATGTGAACTTAACTGTGTGCACTTTTGGATATTCAGGGAATGCCAGGAGAAAAAGGAGAGAAGGGAGATACTGGCCTTCCTGGTCCCCAGGTATTATTTTTATTTTTTTGGTCTGTTGCTTTTAGTCTAAACCTTTGCCAAGGGGAAAAAAAGGCTGTAGCTTCTGAAGTCAGTTGTGATCTTGGTAATTAGTGTTTTTCATATTAAAGACCATTTGCCTGTATTCACTTGCCCTAAGCCCCTTTTGAGAGTCACACGGATGTTCCCCAGGTGAGCTCTGGCAGGGAACATTCTTTGCCCATGTTAACTTCCAAGTCTGAATTCTAAGTTACAAAGGATTCATCATTATGCTCTTAGGTTTGTTTGGAGGCCTTCATCTGTTTCAGGAAAGCTGGGTGAGTGGATGACTCATTCCTGTGAACCTGACTCTTTTTTGTGCCTGTTCTATGTAGGGTATCCCGGGAGGCGTTGGTTCACCAGGACGTGACGGCTCACCAGGCCAGAGGGTAAGGTCTTGCCCAAGGTTGGTTTTTAGGAAAGTAGACTTTTTACCAAGCCACTCTTACTGCTGACAGCTTCTATGTAAGGAAGTCAAGCCACTTTTTGCTTTTTGTTTTCTCCTGTGTATCGATATTCTATCTATCCTGCATCTGTTTCCCTTCACTGACATCTTGTATGTGCATTGCTTCATCAAACCCTCGGAACTTCCATCAAACCTTCTCAAATTAGCACATTTCTTTCTGAGTGCTCCCATCACCTGAGGATAGTTTATTGTGTGCATTGGTTTATCAAGAAGCACATAAATTGAAATTTAAATAGAATGGCTTTCTGTAGTATGCCTTACATGGAAACCTCCATTTATTTAGTGTAGTTCAATTATTGCTTCTTTTTATCTGTTCAAGTGGACAGCAGAACAATAAAGTATAAAGATGTTCAGGAAAAGGATACACTAACATCTGGTCTTTGTTTAGTCAACAAGATTTTACTGAACCAGATTTGAGGTTCTTGTTCTCAAAGAGTTTATAGTTTGTTAGGAAGAAATATAACTAAGTAAGAAACTTTATTACATTCTATAATGAGAGCAGAGCCCTGTAAGAACAGAAAAAATGGATAACCAAACTGGACTTGGAGGCTGGAGTAAGATTTCTCAGAGGAGGTACCATCTAGACCAAGTCTCAATTGAAAGACAGAAGTCAGCCAGATGAACAAGGAAAGGAAAGCTATTGCAAGCAGAGGGAATAGCATATACAAAGAGGTAGAGGCAAGGGAAGGTGGGGCATTTCCAATATTGTACATTGTTTAGTATGGCGGGAGATTAGAGTAAGTGTGTGTGTGTGTGTGTGTGTGTGTGTGTGTGTGTGTGGTATGCATATGCACACATACTTAAGTGTGGGGAGATTGTTAAGAGATGAAGTTGGAGAGGTAAGCACAAATTCACTTAAGTAATCTACTTTTTTCAGCTAAGGATTTTGAACTTTAACATGAAGGCAATAGGAAGTCATTAAATTTTCAAAAGGGGCAGAGAGGCTGGTCTTCCTTAAACTGTCACTGATTTAGACATGTGAGCAGCTCCACAGTTTCTCTCAAGACTGGATTATATAGAGTAGCTACCACTTAGATCCAATCCAGTGAAGGACAACACATCTGGCATTCACTGGTTTTTCCGGTTGAACTTATTAGATTAGCAGACAATTGGCTTGAGCACTCACTTCTCTACTCAAACGAGGATTGCTTGTAGCTCAAGGTAGCTATACTGTTCAAGAATAATGAAATTGTTCTTGTTTTTTCTATAGAAGTGTAGACGTGCAACCTTTCTACTTCTCGCCAACACCTTCTTTTTTTAACAGCAAACTTTCATTTGCGTAAAATCTCAGTGTAGTCTCTGTTCATCAAATGGAATCGCTCAGTCTATGAAACATGTTTAGGTGAATGTATCTAAAGAAGGCATTCTATAACAAATTTATGTGGGGTTCTTGTACATGTGGAAGAAGCGTCTAGAAATATTTATATATTTTGGCAAAGGGTGTAGGCTAAGATCCTGTGTGGTTACACACCTGGATTCCTTCGTGATTCCTGAAGTTCTGAAAATGGTAATTCTAAAGACTTATTTCAGTGAGTTTATTTGATTTATCTGTGCATGAAGTGCAATCTTGGCAAAGAACTCACAAATCAAGCATGTTGGATTAGTGTTTGAATCATTTGGTTTTGGAATTCTGTCTTTTAAAACCAATATACCAACACAGACTTTTTGTAAATATTTTGCTATTCCTCTAAATGGGTGTTCTTCTATGGGATTAAAAGTCATAGAGCTGTAATAAAGTGATAAGATATCTGTACTTGGATTTTATTTTCCTCTCTCTTCCAATCTAGAAGTCAAACTTTTAGGGTATGTCTGATTCTTACTTTGAAAACTTAGATGGAGTGGACTTGCTTTTCCAAACTAGATTTTGAAGGATACTCATTCTTTATAGGGCCATATTTAAAGAAAAGATTGTATGAATCCTATGATGATTTTTTAGAAGAGATATTTGAGGGCAGTATCATTTCAATGTGCAATACAAGGGAATCACATTCACACAGAATAAAACATAATGGTGCCCTGAAATTGTGTAACATGTCTACCTTGCTTAAGGGAATGACCACGTATTTTTTTCAATCAGACATGTCTTTTTTTTTTTTTCCTGGTTCATGTTCTCTCATGAGGTTGCATCCATCAGCCATGTCTTAACTGAGCACATACAATATGCCACGTACTATGCTCAGCCTGGAAAGAGTTGGTCATTACTGCCTGCAGAGAAGAATCCAGAAGAGGAGAGAGCTTCAGTGGCAGAGGGAGACAGCTTGTAGACTGTTTACCCAGAAGAGATGGAAGGATGGGATAAGAGCATGGCTGTTCCCTGGGACTAGAAAAACAAAAGGGTCTTCTCAGAGGCAGTAGAGAAGGAAAGAAGAAATGAAGAATAGATTCAAAACAGTTGTTTAGGTGACTCTGATCTGTTTAGTCAACTGATCTGAGAACTTAAGGATAGTCCAGTTCTAACACAGTTAGATATTAATAGTTACAGGGTAGGATTGTAAGGTAGGAGGCCCAGTACAACTTTCATGGTGGGGCAGATCTTGGACATGAAGCACCCCAGAAGACATGCTGCATTGGAAGGCCAGCTCTCCCTGTTTGGGCAGGGGGAGAGGAGGGACTGTTTATAGAATAAGCATACATGCTTTGCAATTATTTCTGGTCCTCCTCAGGCCAACCTAAAAGGCAAAGCTACATTGGGGAAAAAAATAATGACAACAACAACAACAACAACTGTAGCATAGAACAGACAGAGAGCAAACACAGGATGATGAGACTTAGTACTGAAATGACTGAGAAGTCACTTCCAGAAAACTCCAGTCAGGCTTCACTGTCTAGAAAATCAGGAAGGCAGAGCTTTTTATTTTCCTCCACTCTGAGCACTTAAATCACTTCATGTTACTGTGCCTTCATTTCCCTGATTCTGCGTGAGTAAAGCCTACTCTGAGGAAAGGAGGAGGAAGCAGCAACAAACATTTTCAATGATGTTCAATGGGTGCTTTTAGCTCCTTAGACAGTGTAAGGAGTAGGTGAGTGAGGTGTGCGGTAAGGGTGGTGGGCTATTACTTACTACTCATTCTGCTTCCTTTTAAGTCTTTGCCTTCTCTTGTTTGTGTACTTATGTTAATTTTAATTTTTAGAGATAAAAATCTCCCTCTGTGGCCCAGGCTGGATTGCAGTGGTACAATCATGACTCACTGCAGCCTCAAACTCCTGGGATCAAGTGATCTTCCCACCTCGGCCTACCAAGTAGCTAGGACTGCAGGTTTGCACCACCATGTCTGGCTAATTTTTTTATTTTTATTTTTTGTAGACATGGGAGTCTTGCTATGCTGCCCAGGCCAGTCTCAAACACCTGGTTTTGAGCAATTCTCCTACCTCAGCCTCCCAAAGTGCTGGGATTACAGCCACCACATCTGGCCAAGTCTTTGTCTTCTCTTACTGACAGCCACAAACTTAAAGCACAAACCAAGTGTCGTCACCTTGGCTATAAGCTTAGGGAAAGGTTAGCACCTCTTTCCTGAAGCTGAAGCTAATAGTATCCCTGAATTTAGCCTAGAAGAAGAGAGATCTTAGTAAATAATAAAAAGGAGAAGATGAAACATCTTTTCTTCTAATGTTTCTAGCTTATTCTAGCTTTTCCCAAGGGGAATCTTTGACTCTTAGAGGTAGCTCTTATTCAACTTTGGGCCCGAGGCCAGAAGCAAGTCCAGTAAAAACTGAACTTGTTCACTGAACTAGTTTTAGCCTCTTGCTAGGCAGCCAATAGAGTAGAGGAACACACTTTAAAAAGCAATAGTGCAAGTTCATATTTAATAGCCAAATGCACTTAGGCATTCAGTTTTCATTCCGGGTCATTCCAACAGAAAGCATTTTGGTCCCATCTTTCATTTGCACTGTAAATCTTGTCACCTCTCTCATCTTCTTCCTCTCCTTTCCTTGGTATCTGTGATCTCTGAGCTCCTCTAATACATGGTGGATTTCTCAGTCTCCACCCTAGACATCAGGGTGGTCCTTTGGAAAACTGGGAAGAACAAGCATGACATGGATTACTTCGTGTTTCCAAACCTCACTTTCCTCAGCAGTAAAGTGGAAAAAATAATATTTGACTCCATAGAATTGTCATGGAGATTAATTCATATGAAACATTTCTCTATAAAAATGTGATTTTAGCTAGTATTATTAGTATTCACTATTTTCAAGGAAACTTAACAAGTCTGGACATTTTATAATATTTTATAAGGCTTGTACTTGACATTTCAAGATGTCTTAGAAGACTAAAGAAATACAAAATTCTTTTTTCAAAAGCAAGTTAAACATTTTTTTTCTTGGATTTCACCTCACAAGGATACTGGAAGCATGTTTCCAGATTAGGCAGGTTTTACATCTACAAAGGATATATTAATGATGATTATCCCATTTCATCAAAAGTGAGTTAGATATGAATTGCACTTGAGAAATTGAACTTGAGTCAACTATCTGGATTTAATTTTTATAAATGTTAAGTGATGATGAAATATCTATCAAATATTTTGTAAAATACTAAGATTCATGATTATTATTCCCTTGAGTATCTCCCTCCTTCTGAAGAGGATGTATAAATACCATCACAAAACTAGTAGAGGGAATAATTTGATTTTCTTCTTTGTGGGTCTAGTTGGGTTTTATAAAATCTCAAAAAGCCTTTGCACAGTCAACCGCAATGATGATGGTATGTGCAACTGAGACTTAACAGATTATTTTAATAATCAGATTATTTAATAAAAATAGCAGCAATCACTATCATTAATTATTGAATCTGTGCAGGTGCTTTACAAATATTATGTTGTCTAATCTTCAGAATAACTATGGGCACTAGGCATTGTTATCCCCATTTTACAAAGAATCTAAAGCTCAGAAACTGAAGAAACGGTGCCACACAGCTAGTAAGTG